ACCTGTCCTTCCAGTGAGCACTCAGGGTTGAGTTCCTTCAGAATGGATAGGTTTGTTCTCTTTGCAGTCCAGAGGACTCTCAAGAGTCTCCTCCAGCACCATAATTCAAAAGCATCAATTCTTCAGTGGTCAGCCTTCTTTATATTCCAGCTCTCACTTCCATACATCACTAGTAGAAAAACCATAGCTTTGTCTATGCAGACCTTTGTCGGCAAGGTGATGTCTTTGCTTTTTAAGATGATGTCTAGGTTGGTCATCGCTTTTCTCCCAAGAAGCAGGCGTATTTTAATTTTGTGGCTGCTGTCACCATCTGCAGTGATCATGGAGCCCAAGAAAGTAAAATCTGTCACTGCCTCCATATCTTCCCCTTCTATTTGCCAGGAGGTGATGGGGCCAGTGGCCATGATCTTCATTTTTTTATGTTGAGCTTCAGACCTTTTTTTGTGCTCTCCTCTTTCACTCTCATTAAGAGGTTCTTTAATTCCTCCTCATTTTCTGCCATCAAAGCGGTTTCATTTGCATATCTGAGGTTGTTGATATTTCTTCCGGCAGGGAGACAGTATGTAGCCTTGTCGTACTCCTTTCCCAATTTTGAACCAATCAGTTGTTCAATATCCAGTTCTAACTGTTGCTTCCTGTCCCACGTATAGGTTTCTCAGGAGATAGATAAGATGGTCAGTCACTCCCGTTTCTTTAAGAATTTGCCATAGTTGTTTGTGGTCCACACAGTCAAATGCTCTTGCATAGTCAATGAAGCAGAAGTAGATGTTTTTCTGGAACTCTCTGGCTTTCTCCGTAATCCAGCGCATGTTAGCAATTTGGTCCCTAGTTCCACTGCCCCTTCGAAATCCAGCTTGTACTCCTGGGAGTTCTTGGTCCACATACTGCTGAAGCCTACCTTATAGGGTTTGGAGCATAACCTTGCTAGCGTGTGAAATGAGTGCAATTGTTGGAGCATTCTTTGGCACTGCCTTTCTTTGGTATTGGGATGTAGACTGATCTTTTCCAATCCTCTGGCCACTGCTGAGTTTTCCAAACTTGCTGGCATATTGAGTGTAGCAACTTAACAGCGTCATTTTTTAAGATTTTAAATAGTTCGACTGGAATACCATCACCTCCACTGGCCTTGTTGTTAGCCATGCTTTCTTAGGCCCACTTTATTTCACTCTCCAGGATGTCTGGCTCAAGGTCAGCAACCACAGTATCTGGGTTGTCTGGGACATCCGGATCTTTCTGGTATAATTCCTCTGTGTATTCTTGCCACCTCTTCTTCTGGTCTGGTATAATTCCTCTGTGTATTCTTGCCACCTCTTCTTGATGTCTTCTGCTTCTGTGAGGTCCCTACCATTTTTGTCCTTTATCATGTCCATCTTCCCACAAAATGTTCATATCTCCAGCTTGTCTCTCCTTGCTGTTCTTTGGAAGTAACATCCCTCTGCTTGCATGTTACTATTTCAGGTTTTTTTCTTAAAATGTCTGGATTTACACGCTTCCAGCACACTTTATTATTATTATTATTCTAAGGTACTGCTAGTAATTTGCACTGCTGTTGCTTTAAATCAGAATATAAAGAAAAGACAGTAATGAGGAAGCCAAGATTGATAGACGTGAACAATTGTTAGCATCCATTCAGATTACATAAAGATATACATAGTCTTATAACAGTACAGTGGTGCCTCGCTTAATGGGTGCCCTGTTTAACGACTAATCCGCATACCGATGAAGATTTTGCGATCGCATAATGATTTTTTTTAATGGGGGAGCCAGGAATCAGGGCAAGGCCCGGGTGTTCCGGCGGCCCTCCTCCCAAGCCCTCGCTCGCCCGCCGCCCAAGGATGCCCGGTGTTTTCCTGGCTGGCTGGCGAGCAAGCGCCGGGTGGATGGCTCGCCCCTTCCCACCCCCG